ATTAAAACAATAAATGTTAAACATAAAGCACTCTTTATTTCTCTTTATTTGTAGTCTTCTTTCTTCCTCTCCTCCTCCTCTAAACCTTTGCAAACACTCTGAAAGATGAGAGCTTCTGAAATGAATTTCAGGTGGTAACTATTCCCGTCATTTCAACTGCTTGACCATGTGAGACACCAATTAGTTTGGGAGTGATTTATATCTTTTTGTAACCAGTATGTAGTCTGCCTCACCTTTTCCAGACCTGTAATTTTAACTGTCCTTTCCTTCACTTAATAAAAACATTCTGTTACTTTTTGTTCTTATTATTTATAGTGTTCCTTGAACTGTAACTTAAAAATTATTTTATTGTTGTATTTGATTTATTGTTAACCACTTTGAGAAACTTCCTGTCCTTTTGAGAGGTTACTTGTTGATGAAACTCCAGTTTCCGTAAGGTATGTTTTTATAGTACAGAGGAAAAGATGTAAATAACAAAGATGGGCACTTCATACACCTGACAGCTTTGTAGAAAGCTCTCAGCATGGCACCACATCTGCTGCTTGGACCTTCTCCCCACCTCGGGGCCAGCTGGGCCACTTATCTGTCATCACGCGCTGCTAGGGTCCTTCTGCTCTAGTGGTGCACCAATCTGGGTAGGAGTTTGGGCTGCCTGTCCCCTGCCTCCAGCATCCAACCACTTCATTGAGGAAGTGGGATGGGGCTTCCCTCCCTCCTCAGGGAAGGGCTGGATTGGTGCACCATCGGAGAGACCCCGGCAACGCACAATGACAGATAAGTGGCCCAGCTAAAACAACGGAATAATATATGGCATCTGCCCTATACAGATCACCTTCAGACAAAGAAGAGAATATACTTAAAACTATGTAGATGGTACTTATGCCCTGCACAAATTTCCAGAATTAACCTACATACCTCCCCAAAGTGTTGGAAACACTGTAGTAAACAAGGGTCACTTTTGCACTGTTGGTGAGAATGTAGCAAAATAAGGGATATAGGGTGAATGTGATAGCCATTATAGCAAAAATAACAGAAGAGCCAATTCAGACACGTGCTCTGTTACCCATACTCTCAATACATAATGGAGGAATGGTTGATACACAAAATGTTGATATCACTTCTAGTGTCTGTTGCAAGAATAGAAGTTCAATGATGGAAACAATTTGACGGACTGTATTGATAACTGGTGCAAAAGGATGTAATACATTTTTCTAGCAGAAAAAATAGTATCAAAGCAGCAAAAGAGGAGGGGAAAAGTTTTGCAGCATAAGGTATCACTTTACAGTACAGTACTGCATGCCAGTGAGCAGACTGCTGAACCAGAGACTGCCCTCTATCATACTCAGTTTTGGACTACAGAATGTATGCTACAGGAAGATAATGACAGTAGATTAGAAATCAAAATTAAATAGTAACAGAAAAAACAGCAAACACAAGAAATGGAGTTGGACTCTTAAGCTAGACCTTTATAATGACAGAATGGATCAAATATAATAGGTGTCATTTATTTATTTATTTGTTTGTTTGTTTGTTTGTTTATTTATTTTATTTAGACTTCTACCCTGCCCATCTAGACCAAAGGTCTACTCTGGGCGACATTACAAATTTTTTAAAACAGTGAAACCAATAAACATATACTATGAATCCAAGCTGGCAAAAAGTTCAAAATATAACACAGGGCAGGAGGGAAAGCCTGCCCAAATATCCAGGTCTTAACTTTCCTCCTGAAAACACCTAGAGAGACAGCCAGGTGGATCTCCATGAGCAAGTTGTTTCAGAGGCAAGGGTCCACTGTCAAGAAGGCCTGGTTCCTCATTCTTTCCTTCCGGACCTCCCTCGGCATTAGGCCCCTCAGCTGCCCGACCTGTCTAGAACGAGTGACTCTGGCAGAAATGGGTGGGAGGAGGCACTCTGCCAGATATTGAGATCCTAAACCATTTAGCGCTTTATATGTCATTATGACTTTGAAATCAATGTGGAAACGAATGGGCAGCCAATGCAAAGCGGCCAGAGTGGAG